TACACACTAGGGCTGCACGATTAATCGCATGCGATATTTAACGCGCATCTTATCAGCAAAGCCGGTTCTGTAATCAGCGGTAACTCTCCATCACCTGCGTGCTTTCACGTTGAGCAGCATTAACTACACAGAGCCGTTGTTCACTGATGAGTTGCGCAAAAAATCGCGCGAATATGAACGTGGTTTAGCGCAGCTCGTTAGTGAACAACGGCTCTGTGTAGTTAATGCTGCTCAACGTGAAAGCACGCAGGTGATGGAGAGTTACCGCTGATTACAGAACCGGCTTTGCTGATAAGATGCGCGTTAAATATCGCATGCGATTAATCGTGCAGCCCTACTAGATATGTATTGCAAAACATTCTGAGATCTGAGAACCACATTCAGGTTATCTTAAAATCCTGCACAGGTTCATCCTTGAATGCCTTCCTATCATTGCCTTACTTCCTCTCTGTCTCTGACTGATTGCTTAGCTCACTAGAACAAGCAAAAAGGTGTTATCTTGTCTCTTTGGATCTGTATCAATAGCTCCTGAAGCCTACTATATAAAAACTTATGTTCTTTAGCAGCGTAATTAGTTTTGCCTTCTTTTGGGTTGTGTGCATCCTTACTTAATCTAGTAAGAAAGGTTTGGGCTGTACAGAAGTAGCTAAAACACAAAACCAAAACACGTCAGGTATCAAGGTTACGTAAATAACTGTTCGAGTCCGTCTTCTTGGAGAAAATCTGATTTAGGAGTAAGTATCGCTGACCTTGAAATTTGCAGTATTTTGAAAACGGTAAGCACTCACAATTAGGTCGACGAAATGACTGAAATGACAAAAAGCTAACAGCGTTTTTTCTTAAAATTCACTTAAATTTAACTCGTGAATGAGTTTTAAAATATCGACTTGTTAACGAATAATAATATTTAAATGGCAATTTAATAAGCAGTAGCCTATAATTCAGCTCAATTTCCTGTGCATATTTGTGCTTACGCTTTTTCTTTGTGCGTTTGTGAATTTGCAATATCTTCAAATCACGCTCCGGTTCTGTTGAATGTATTGTTTGTGGTGTAACGGCACAAGTAAATAAAAGCTCAAGCGATCCTGAAACATTTGCACGTAAATTCGCTAAGGAAAAGGGGATAGGGCCTAAACATTTTAAAGATCTAATTTGACAACGAAAAAACGACATAATTTAGTCTATTTTTTTTTAATCATGATTTAGGCTACATTGAAATAGTTTGGCACCTGCAAAATGTTTTCTATTCGGCAGATTAGCTAATTTATTTAATTTATAATATAGAGTAGGCCCTATCTTTATTGAGGCCTACTAGATTTTGAACAAATCAATGTGTAGCCATTTATGTAGGCTATTTTTCCGCTGAAAGAAATGACTGTAGGCTTATATAAATGTAGCCTAGCCTAAGAAATGTTTTCTCCGAATTATTTTTTTGTGTAATAATTATGATATAATTTTATAATAAGTGGCCTCCTACTAATAGCCTAATAATATTTAATTAGTTAAACTCCACCTCTCCGTTTTTCTGTAGAAATTAAACCTTTTCATAAGAGTAGCATAGCCTATTCACGCATTTTACATTCACAAATATAAATAAAAATGTTCTGTGCTGATTTATTCTTTTGCGAATTGATGTGACAATAAATAACAATAACTTAATTTTGTTCAGAGACACGGTCCGCCAATAAATTTCACAACGAAAAAAAATCCCATCTTCTGAAATCGATGTCCAAAAACCACAGATACAACAGTCATCATAACGAATAAAGAATATCCATTTCGAGGTCCCTCACTTAGTGTAGGTCTATGCAGATTTTCACTTCCATCATTTCACTCCCAGTGTCACCACGGACTTGTTGACGGATTTGAGGAAAAACGGTTCCTCTGTTCCCAGTGCAGGTTTTGCTATAGCCTATGTCTGATGGCGCTGTCCGGTGGTGGTCATGGAATTTCCCGCGTCCGTGATATGAGCTGTTCTCATGATTTCCCGGGGAACAGACGAGCAGTCTCTCTCACGTCTCCACCGGGCTCGGTACCATGCTGTTCGGTGTGTCCGGTAACTGTAAAGAAAGAGAGGTCACGTCGCTGCCAGATGAGTTTCCTAAAGAACCGGATTCCGAGAAAGAGACCTGAAAGTAAGAGACAAAATTAACTATAAAAAAAATAAAAATAGCTAGACATAACAATAATAATTATTATAATTATAATGATAGGCAAATCTCAGTCTGACAATAGTAGGCCTATACACTAAAGTAGACTATAGAAACCATAAAAAATGTCAAAAGCAACTTTGATTTTTTTTACACTCACCATCTGTTGAAAGGCAGGTTGATCTAAGTCACTCTGAAGTGCAAATTCGCTGAGAGCTTTCCAGGGTGGTTGGTAAGTCTGCACTTCCACCGGGTGTCCTGGCACTGAGGGGTTGTGTCGAACTGGGCTGCCTGCAACCAGCGCAGTGCCCGTCATGACCTGCAGATTCTGGACCAAAAAGTCTGCGATCAGGGACACAGCTCCAGACCATTTCATATCGGCATTTTAATAAGGTACAATGCATCACAAAACAGAGTTAAATCTTTTTTATTCATTTTTTTGATAAATAAAAGAAAACTATAGCCTAATATATAAGGGCAGTTCCAGATGAAATAGAGTTTAAAACATTCCCCAAACCACCCACAGTAGGAGAAGTCTGTAGCTAATTTGCTTCAAGCCAACACTGCAGTCGAATTACTGACACAATTAAAATCATCTCGGCTCATAAGTGTCAGGCATCACTCAGAGCCGTACTGGTTAAGTCTGTTTTTTTCACGCACATCATGGTAAGCTAAATTTCTCACACTGAAAGGGCATTAGCAAGACACTTACGGTCTTATCGCCATGTTGCTGTTGTATCTGTTTCATGAAGATAGATCTCTTCTTGTCCTTGCAGCGCTTGTTTTGGAACCACACTCGAATGACCCGCGGGCTCAGGCCTGTCATCTCCACCAGCTGCTCCTTCATGAGCGCATCTGGTCTCGGGTTTGCATTGTAGCACGTCCGCAAAGTGTGTAGCTGCTTTTCGTTTAACACCGTCCTCACCCGAGTGGTCTTCTCCGATTGCTTGTGCATGTGGTTCCGATGAGTTTGCCGGACCGACACAGGATCAGCTGAACAAAAATGTAAAAACATAATGATTTAAAATAATAATAAGTTTGAAAAGAACATAAAATATGCTACTAGACAATATAAATGTCAAAAATAATAATGCCGTTGAAAAAATTACACAAGCATTTTGAATAAAAATAAACTCTTATAATAAATTTGGAAATGTAACTGGATAGATAGATAGATAGATAGATAGATAGATAGATAGATAGATAGATAGATTTTTACAAAATTTAAAATAATAATAAGTTTGAAAAGAACATAAAATATGCTACTAGACAATATAAATGTCAAAAATAATAATGCCGTTGAAAAAATTACACAAGCATTTTGAATAAAAATAAACTCTTATAATAAATTTGGAAATGTAACTGGATAGATAGATAGATAGATAGATAGATAGATAGATAGAT